AAGGCTGACGGGTGAGGCGCTAGTAAAGCTTAGGCCAGAAAGGGAAAGGACAAGTGGGGCCCCATTTTATCCTAATGGCCCTGGGACCTGGGCAGGGTAGGACCCCCACCGTGCACATAGGAAGACAGGGGCAGAGAGAAGCCGACAAGTCCAAGGAGCCAAACTAGGACGAGCAGTTCTCCTGACTGAACATCCTCATCAGCAAGGACTCTCCTCCTTAGCAAGGACTCTCGTACAACACCTACCTGTGTGGGTCTAGAATGGAAGCCAGTCCCTTCCGGCCCCAGCTCTGGGTGGCTGCCCCAGCTCCAGGATCCTTGCCATACCAGGTCAAGAGGGCAGGAGAAAGCAGGGGTTCATGAGAACCAAAGTATGAAATGTGGGGCTCTTGGTGTCTGGCGTGACTTTGGGAGGTACTGCTGCCCGGCTCCCAGGTAGTAGGAGCTAAGGACTAAGAAGGCGGTAAGAAAAATTCAAGACCACCCCCCACGCACAGGGGCTCCCACAGCCTCCGCACGTGTCATCTCTGCGGTCTCAGAACAGCTCCCCATCTGACAGCTGGAGGCACCGTGGCCCAGGCCGAGTGCCTAGGCAGGGGTCCCCGGCCCACAAAGGCTCTGGTCAGGAGTGGGTCTGGGGGTCCCAGTGGAGAGTGGGAGTGTGTCAAAAGCAAAGGGCTGCCTCAGGGGCTAGAAGGGAAGAGGTGGCCAGGGCTGTGACAGCAGATGGGACCAGATCCAGAGCTGTCCTCTGCGGGAGGTAGAAAGAGGAGGAAAAGAGGGGGAGAGCAGGTGGGTGCTTATAAATGTACCTGTGTCTCCAACTCCCCCAGGACCCACCTGCCCAAGGATGCCCAGTGGGGCCCAGCAACGCAGGAGTATTCAGATGCCTTCCAGACCTCAGTTTCCCTTTCTGCACAGTGAGAGCAAGGAACTGGCCACATTGGTGTCCAGAACCAGCAAGGTTGCCAGTGGAAGATGCCGCCACGAAGACGAAGACGCCACAGGGAGACCGCTCATCTGCAGCCTGTGAGTCAGTGCACCCCCTCCCCTTCCCGCTCCCCCTTCCCCTCCCCCTCCCCTGCGCAGCCGCTGGGCCCCCGCTCCTGCCCCGCCTCCGGTGTGCGATGGGGGGCGGGCAGCGGGCAGAGCTGAGAGGAGCAAAGCGGAGCGGACGCTGCCACCTGATCCCATCCAGGCACAGAGAAGCGCAGAGAGGCGAGCGACGGGCACTTGTGCCCAGGGCCCCGGCGCCCTCGGACCCGCAGAGGGTTTCAGGACAAGGGTTGGGAGGTAGCAGCGACCACCCGCCACCGGGTCGGAGGCAGAGCCCACGAGTGAGTACTGCAGTGGCCGACCTGGGGCTGGAGGGCGGGGTGGACCAGACGGGATCGGGATCGGGGAAGAGGGGTGGTCAAGAGTGTGTGGGGGCCCACTGCCTGGAGAGCATGAGGAGAAAGGCATTTCTGCCCCCTGGGGAGTGGGAGGACAAGGTGAGAGGGAGAATCTGGCCTATCCCCTGTGGTGACCGGATCCCGGGGACAGATCCTTGGGGGAGGTTGGGAATGGCGGGGGGGAGGTAGGCAGTGATGGAGAAAGGAGGATGAGGGGAATTCAGAGGCAGGGATGACTGTGGGAGTGGATGACAGTGAAAGGGGGCTGGGGGGGGACCTGGCA